CTCCCCTGAGGCCCAGGGATAAGGGGGTGTCCCTGATGGACTCTGAGTCCAGGAGGTCTCAGGGGGTGACCACACACAGGGAAGGACAGCTTGATCCCCCAAACCCCTCTGACCACTGTCCCGCCCTGGTCATGCCCCCTGGACCATGCCACTTGCCCATGGAGGGTGGACCCCAGGGGACACATTGCCTGGGCCTACACAGAGCCCGGCCAGGGGAAAGGGCAGGGCGCCACCATCCTGAGGGGAAGGACTCAGGCCCCTTGAAGGGGTCTGTCCCCACCTGGTGGCTGGAAGCTCAGGCCCCACCCAGCCCAGCAGGACAGGTCTGTGTCCCCTCTGATACGGGGCTCAGGGTCCAGGCCACCTTGGTGTCCAGATGGGACCAGACCTCATGGCCCTGAGTCAGGGGAGAAGGCTGAGGGTCATGTTTGCAGAGGGAGGGGAGCCCCAGGACCTGGGGGTGAGCAGGAGGGCAGGGAACCCGAGGACAGAGACGGGGCTGGGACAGGGAGCAGGGCCCTGGGACCCACCTGAGGGCGGAGTGGAGTAGTCCTTCTCTGTCACCTGCAGCTTCAGGGGCTCACTGCGCTCAGACCACCTCTCATGCACATCGTGATAGAGGCAGCGGTACCTCCCAGCCATGTCTTCACTCACCGCGGGGAAGTGGAATCTGGCCTCGGTCGCCTGCGAACCATCTTGAGACACACTTTCCTGACCCTGAAAATGTTTTCCATCCTTCTCCAGGCGGAAGTACTCAGCCCCACCTGGGGAACTGCACACGAAGGTCACAGGCCGTGCCCGGGGGACCACAGTGCCTGGCTCGGCCCAGAGGACGGGTTTGGGCAGGGCCCCTGGGAGGAAGCAGAGCAGGATCTCAGGCTCCATCATGAGGAAATGTCCAACCTCACACCTCCCAGGTTGTAAGCTACAGCTCAATGGTTCTTAGCAAACTCTCAGAGCTGTGCAACCCTCACCACAGCCCATTGTACACCATTTGCACCATCGCTTCCGCAAGAGACCACCCTCTATCCCCTCCAGGGGACTGAGTTCTCATCTCTCCAGTGACTTCCCCACGTGACAGGAGGACCCAAGACCTAGTGACATCCTGGCCTTTTCTCAGGGGGACATGGGAGGTGTCCGAGCAGCCTGGGGCCCAGGACCTGTCTCCCTCCCCATGGCCACTCTCCAGGGGGACATGGAGGGCTGGGAGGGAGGCAGAGGGTGACGATGAGCAGGTCACTCTGGTGAGAAGGGGGAAAACTCTGAGAGGGTGTTTCTGAGTGTCCCCCGCTTGGCTCAGCCAAATGGGAGCGTCTGCAATGGGCTCTAAGGGCACAGTCTGATCCCACAATGCCCCAGGGGCTGTTTCCTGGTGATTCCAGGAGACTCAAATGCAAAGCCCTCCCCTAAGTCATCCCAATTAGCCACTGGGACCGGTCTGCAGGCAGCTGGGGGAGATTGTGGGGATCAATTGGAGAAGCAGTGCCCCATGGGAGGTCTAGTGGTGGGGCGAGTGGACACAGGCAGACCTGCTCACAGGACCCCAGTGGTGAGGACCCCTGACTCCTGGACATGTCCTCTGAGCAGCACTCATTCAGGTTCCCTCTGCGTTTCCCGCCACGCTCTCAGCCCATTTCCAGTTCCTTGTGACTAAGGGGCCTGAAACCCCAAGTGTCTAAACTGGGCTGGGCAGGGAGAGAGGGCTCTAGCCCTGAAACAGGAAGAAGGCATCCCAGTTTCTCAATCCCCATAGAGGCAGAGCTGGCCGAGCCCCAGCACTCATTCCCTCCTTCCTTCAGCCACAGCTCAGCTCCCATCTCACCCTTTACAGACGCCTCCTTGTGCCACTGGCTCCACAAATTGGAGACACACAGGGGGGTCCCTGCCTTCTTGGGAGAAGGGTAGAGGGAGCACAATCGTGAGGGGGGAGTGTGCC